TCAAATTTATATAGACACTAAATTAAACCCTTAAGTATTCTCAAGAGTGTATTCCTTAGAAATTGATTTTACCCTGTTGACTTTTTAATAGTAAGGGATGCAGTGATTTAAAAAGTGATAAAGCTAATATAGATTTTTTTTTCAAGTAAGACCAACTTTCAAGCTCACTCTTAATTTCTTGACATAGTGTGAGATGTCTCAGGGAGCAAGTTTTAAAAGGATACTCATGGCCTGTAAGAACAAACAGGAAAAATGATCTGACTTTTAAAATTAGGTTTATTGTTTGTTTCACTCTGATGTAGCTCAAGGACTTTTTTAAAAGGCAGGAGAACTCTTGTAGAGCTAACTGCCTCAAGCTGCCAACACTTACTTGTAAGAATGTGGTATTCTGTATTGGTAATGATGGCTTTTACTGCATTTGTCATTTCTCTCTATAGTTCAGTTACCATAGAATACTTTCGAGCTTTACTATTTCTTATATAATTCACCTCAAATATGCCAGGATATTTGATGTTTCACTTTATTTGGAATTAGATGACAATGTTAATTATGCCATCCTTGCTATTTGAGGATTAATCTTTGGACTTACAGGAACATGAGCTTTGATTTATATTAGGTATAGCCTTTGGGCTATATCCCATTTGAGACTAGTCCCATTGAGGCTAGTAGCAAACATTTGACTAACTGGGATTAGGTATACATGTCTCAACTTGAAAAACCAAATATTGTTAAGGAACCCATATGATGACTTGTAACCATGGCTTCATTTGCACCTTGTTTTAACTAACTGAGGTGATAAGGCACTTAGTACCCATACAAATGGACTGGACTTACTGAATCATACTTACGTAACATCACAATCTTACTGGTTTTCAGAATAAAACTCTTCTGCTTTTGATATAAAGATATACTCTACAATAAAATGTTTGATTAATTTATATGATAGTATTTTTTTTTTTACCAATGACCTAGTTGCAGAAGTTTGGTGTTTTTCTTTTTTTTTTTCCTTGTTTTGTTTATCTGTTCTGCAGCAAGCTCTTACTTTTCCTGTCACATAAAGAATGGACACAGCAGTAACATCCTCATTTTCACAGAAATGATACTCAAACCATTACTTTCCATTCCTCAGCTTCACTTTTCCCCAAGATTTGCTTATAAGCATCCAGATTGTTTTCAGTTTCGCTTTGCCTTCTTTAAGTTAGAGGTATTAATGATTGTAGACTAGAAGGAGAGAAATTATCAATGAACTGAGTAAACTATTCTTGAAGGATTTTCTGTTTTTGTTTTCTAAAACAGGTATTGTTGAAGAGCTTTTTTAAAGCTTTATATATATGTATATATGTTTTTTTACTTTCAAAGGGAAGTGTGTTCTATGTTTTAGTGTGAAAATGACTGGATTTATTTTGGGATCCAAGGACTGATGCCATAATTTGCACTTAAAGACTGTAATTTTTACATATTTAGCAGTACTTTACTTCTAAGAACAGTAAATTGACATCCTTTTTATTTTTCTTTAGTATTAACTAATTCTTATTAATAGAAATGTCCTCTTTTCTGTTTCTTAAGAAATAATAAACATATACTAAGCAAAGGGATAATTCATATTTCAGGTTGGACGGTTTTCTGTAGACACAAATCATGGACAGTCCAAGCAGCTAAATGAAACATCTTTGACATCAAAGTATCCATCAAGGTTCTTGTTTCACTAATAAAAGTTTTTTTAAAAATCAAATAGCTATTACTCCATTTACTCCCTGTTAACTTTCATTTTTATCAGTGGTAGTGGAGATAGTACTGATTTAAAATTATTCCTTAGGAGACTCAGATGGTTAACATTTTCATTCAGTTATACTAGTACTGGGCTCTTTCATATTTTGCCTAATGAACTTATGATTGGCCTATACCTTCTTTTTAGGAAAATTGGGTCTTCTTTAAGATTATCCTACTACCCCAACCTCCTTTTTTAAAATCCTCATCTGAGGATATATTTATTGATTTTAGATTATTGATTAGAGAGGGATGGAGGGAAGCATCGATCAGTTAACTCCCATATGCACCCTAACCAGGGATCAAACCTGCAACCCAGGTATGTGCCCTGATTGGGGATTGAACCCACAACATTTTTGGTGTATGAAACAATGCTCAACCAACTGAGCCACCTAGCCAGGGCTTCTATTACTTTTCTAAAAGTGAATTAACGTGCTGCCCAAAGAATACGAATCTAGTAAGTGGATTTTCTTATAGAATGAAAAAATGGTGGGTTTAGAAATGTAATCCTGAAGTTAATCTATTTTCTGAGAAAAATGAAAAGATGTCAATTTACTATTCTCAAAGTCAGTCATGTATTTCAGTTCTTAAATTGATGTGGGACAGATATGTACTTGTCTGGGTTGCAACCAAGCTTTTTAATTTCACTTTTGCCTCTATATCATACATGTTTTATTAAGTCCCTAAAACTCTATGCATCCATTCCTCATTTATAATGGGCATGTATGTACTGTTTCACAGGTCTGAGAAGCTGATTCATTTAATAAGTATCTGCTTGCTTACTATGTAAGTTAATGGGATACAAAGATTAATAAAAATTGATTATGAATTGCTTACCATCTGATAAATCATAACCATTCTCATAAGCCTTAAAGAATTAGACTTGAAGTTTGATCTTTTCTAAGTAGGAAAATGATAAAAATTCCCATGTTTCACTTGTTTTTTTAAACAGCATGATTCTTTATGCTATTTAATTCTTCAAACACTTTAGAGTCCTTTGGTAAAATATGACACATCACCAGACTGATTTACACTTTGGTAAAATCCTTCCAAAGTGCCATGTGGCATGACGGTGTAGCTTTACTCAGTGCCATATATATGTGTGTGTGTATATATATGTATATGTGTGTATATATATGTATATGTAAACACATGGCCGTTAGTGAGCTTTAAACAAAAAGAAAAGGTACAGTAGAGTATGAACACTACAGAGACAATAGCTTTTCCCAGAAGCTTTAAGCACAGCTAGACTTTATTGGGTGTTTTAAAATTTTTAACAGGAACTTCCAAAATCAGTCTTGGATTGTCAAGAAAGGGAAGGTATTTATGCAGTTTACTAGTGTCTGGGAATATGTTTTTGTCAATGAGGAGACACAACCTATAAACATGTTTGAAAATATAAGTTTATTCTTGCTGTTGGTTGCAAGTATTAAAATGATTTAATATGAGTTCTGTAATTACCATGATTTGTTATTAACATAGGTAAATTTTGTCCCAAACTGTGAGTATCCAAAATATTTGTCTTTGCTGGACTGCCCTTCAGAATAGCTGGGGGAAATGTAGCCATGGTCTGGGGTTTAGAAATTTAAACCAGTATTTAACCTATTTCAAATGGAATTGAGAAATAAATTTTTTTAAGATTTTATTTATTGGGGGGGAGGTGAAAAAAAGATTTTATTTTTAGAAAGGGAAGGGAGGGAGGGAGGGAGAAAGAAACATCAATGTGCAGTTGCTGGGGGTCATGGCCTGCAACCCAGGCATGTACCCTGACTGGAAATTGAACCTGCGACACTTTGGTTTGCAGCCTGTGCTCAATCCATTGAGCTATGCCAGCCAGGGCTGAGAAATAAAATTTCTGATGGTACTATCTGTCAGTTTCCATTTCCCACAATACATTCTGCTTATGAAGGGTGTACCAAAATAAGTGGTACTCCAGAAAATAGGGTTGTAGGTTTAAGTACTGTTCTCATTAGGCTTTAAGACAGTAGCTTCTAGCCATGGCATTCAGCTCCAGGCATGTTTCTATGAGACACATAAATCATAATCGTAATCATTACAGCATTGTGGCTTTTTTTTTTTGTAGCAGATGTGCCTCTCAGCAACGCTAGTCATCAGAACTGTCTGACATTAACTCAACATAAAGCAAGTACTGTTTGCTTTAATAAAGAAAAAAGCAATAGTGCAGGTGTTTCCCAAACTAATGGATGCATGTGCAAAACTTTGGGTTGTTTTGGGGGTGAGGAGGGAATGGTCACAGGGAAGAAGAATTTTAAATTTCATAGCCATGTTCTCCCCTGTTTCTGATTCCAAATCTCAAGGGTGTAGATGAAGTATAACATGAAAGGAAACCAGTTAGAAACAAGTCACCAATTCAGAGACAGTGAGTCATCAGGGCAGCAGAATGGAAGGTGGAATGGAGCGGGCTCTGTGGCCTACCTACCAAAGACAAAGTGATCATTACAGTTGTCAAATTGGATTATATTCTCTAATACCTTAATACTAATGTATGTCTGATAACCTAGTGATAATTTGTAAGTTTAGTAGTTCACATTTTTAGAAAGCATGTTAATATTAACATTCAAATAAGGCATTATAGAAAGTTTGATAAAGAAAGGAATGTTTACTGTAATCCTTTTTAAAAAGCTTTGGTCCATTTTGAAAGATCAAATTGAATTTTTCAAAAATTGAAAGAAAAATAAGTTTTTCCCCCCACAAAATACATAAGAACCACTTATAGGCAATTGCATTTTAGGTGCCTAGAATAAAACAGGCCACATTTTCAAAGGCAGTTTTTAACAGCTGTAGGAGGACTCGTTTCATTTGATTTGGCACCAAGTAAAGCCAAGAGTAAGCCTGCCACTGAAGACACAGTCAGGCTTCTCCACCTCTCCTATTGCTCCCCTCGTTCTGCCAGGCGGTAGTGTGCACAGAAGCATCCTTGCTGCTCCACTAAGGAATCAAGTCGCTTTGGTTTTGAAATGGCTGCTCAGGTTTCACCCACCAGCAGAGTCCTTTACCCTTAGGACAGGGCAGCAGTGAATGCCAGCAGGTGTCAACTTCTTTGATTAGAACCGAACCCTTCCAGAAACGTAGCATCTAGGTCCTTTTTAACCTGGGATGTAAATCCTTTTCATCACCACACCTGTTTACTAATTATGATTGCTATTTTTGTCCAGACAGTTTTCCCCAGGCAGACCTGATCTATTTCTTAATGAAAAAGCATGCTTGCTTTATCTAATGCCATGAGGGGTTTTTTTCTTCTTTAATGTTACTCATCAAGGCAGATCATACATTCTGATCAAAAAGAGAAACCAGCAAGTAGGTCCAAAAGCACATATCTTAACCCAAGTATCACCTGAAAACATAGGCCTTTTACATTTTCCTTTGAAAATACAACTCCAGTCCTTCACAAGACTTAATGTCAATTTCTAATTAAATCCTATAGGAAAGTACTTTCTATGCTAATTGATAAATTGAAAATTCTGAGTAACCTGAAGGTACATTTAACAACAAAATAAATACAACATACATGGCTAGCTTACAAATTTCTTAGTGTAGAAGCAGCAGTGAATTTGCGTCATTCAATTAATACGTAAATCCAGTTGCTTTTCTTCTGGAATTTTACAGACATACAGTACCACAAGACCATGTACCACAGTGCTAAATATGGCTTTTTGGCATATCTAATTAAAACCCTCTTTTCCCAAATGACATAGGACTTTTTTTCTTTTACTTTTCCAGAAAAATAAGGGAACTTTATCAACCACTTACTCTTCTGAACAGAAGTTAGATTACTACCAATTGCTCTAAATGATTTTTTACAAGTTTCATTAGAGATCTCTGATGTTTTTGAATTGTCCACCCATAGAAGATAACTGGATAAAACATACTAGATGATTTCAAAAAATGAGTATCTGATGCATTTGGCACATCCTTAATTTCCAGAATAAAATCAGTAGAAATTAAACAATTTTCAAAGAATTCATACATTACAGTCTCAGGACAAGGAGCCTCTAACTGCACAAATGAGGAGCTTCTGCTCATCTTACTAGTTACACATGCTTTCCTCATGGAGTAACTGGTGCTTTCTGGTTAATTTGTGGAACTTTTGTTTGTAGGAAGGCATATACATGGGGCCAGATCTTGTTGGTTTCGGTTCCAGAGAATGTTTCCAATACTCCTTTTTTCCTAAAGATGACAAAACAAAAAACACAACTCTTCGTCATAAGCTTTTTCAAAGTGATTCTTAAGTGATGATAATGTGGATTTAGGGCTGTCTGTAGTAAGTATTAGGTCTGTGTGATCAAGGCACTTGGCTGAGCATGGAAAACCTGGATTTTAGCTTCAGTTGGGTCCTCTGGCTTACAGAAACAGTCACTTAAAAATAATAGCACTTACGGGGTGGGGGTAGGGTGAGGGGCAAATAGAGACAACTGTACTTGAACAACAATAAAAAAATGTGAAAAATAATAATAGCACTGCCCTGGCCAGTATGGCTCAGTTGGTTGGAGCATTGCCCCACAACTGAGAGGTTGTGGGTTCGATCCCAGTCAGGGCACATACCTAGGTTGTGGTTCTGTCCCCAATCCCGGTGCATATGATCCCTGGTCCAGGTGTGTGTGATCTCAGGTTGGGGTGCCTATGGGAAGCAACCAGTCAATGCTTCTCTCTCACATTGATGTTTTTCCCTCTCCCTCTCTCTCTAAAAAGCAATGAAAAAATGTCTTCAAGTGAGGATTTTTAAAAATGTAAAATAATAATGATAGTAACAGCACTTATCATCTATTGAGCATGTAATAAGTGCTTTACATGTAGCAGTTCATTTAATCTTTTCTAAAGTTCAAGTTCCTTATTTCACTGATAAAACAGTGTTACAGATATCAAGTAACAGCCCAAGCCAAGGTTTTCAAACATAGGGCCTCTGAGACACCAGTATACCCCCTGGTTTTCTTTGTTTACTACTTGTTTGCAAAACAGCTTCCTAACACTTGATTGTGCTTCCCCTTTTTTCACCTATGTTTATTTTTTTTCCCTCTGTGCTACTCGTGAGTTTCAGAGGAAGAGGAATAACTGTATTCTTTTTTATTGTGTTTCTCCTTTTCTTCCCAGGCAGTTTTGTCTGACTTGGTATCAGACCAGCAATAGACTTGGTATCAAAGTCTATTTACTCCAGCTTTCTGGGGGGGTAAGTGGTGAGGAGAATGAGAATCCTGGGGTTCTTTTTCAAAACACACAGGTTCCCGCCACAGATACTGGCATCCCTCTTGCTTACCCTGCTCCTCCAACCAGCTCACTCACACTGGCCTCCAGGCTGCACAAGGGCAACAGAAGAACTCTAGTTAATATTCTTTCCAAAAATAAGATCTATCATGCCTCTGCAACCTTTTTACTGTATTTTCAGAGGTTTCACTGCGGGCAGAAGCATTCCTTTCTGATACCTCATTTAAGTTAAGACTACCTTAAATAATTCCCACCAAGTTCCTGCTAAAGTGAGGCATTATGCAAATACAGTATTCTTTTCATATTAGAAGCCCTCCTGTTTCTAACTTTGCAGGCATCTCCTAAAGCTTTCAAGAGAACAGGCTTCTAAACAGCTGTAAGCCTCTAGAAGAGGCACTTTAAAATCAAGCTAGTGTCAAAAACAGGTTAATTACCAACGACACAACTATAGGCACCTATTCAATCCTAAAGATGTACCTTGGACAAACATTTTAACTTTTATGTAATAAAACCAGCTTCGAATATTGGTCCTCTAAAGAGTAAGAGCATCATATTGTTTGTAAACACAGGTCTAATTACACTGTAAATGTCCTGCAGCTGAAAGTGTTTTAATTCAGTTTTTCGACCCTCTGTTCTAACTCCCATTTTACAGGGGAGAAGACAGGTTAAGGCCAAGTTAATAAATGGGATTTGAACTGGGGCTGACTGGCTCCAGAATCCGCCCTAATCACAATAGGGTACTGCCTTGATGCTATATCATTGTTAAGTACAAGAATGAATAAAAGGAAAGGGGTTGTGATCAAGTCCCTTGTAAGAGAGGCAAAGGGTGAGTAAGGAAACTGCACTGTTTCTTAGCCTGAGTCAAATATTATTCAGTATAAACCCCATATTTGTTGTGAAATTCCCTGCAGAGCAGACAAAAACATGTTAGAATATAAGCTTCAAAAAACAATTAGCCAAATAAATGATGTGAGGATTGGTTGCTATTCGAGTCTTCTGTCCTACTGAGGCAAGTAGAGGCATGATTGGGTTGGCCTCCCCAGCATTTGTTCCAGCCCTTCTTCCCGCAGACAGCAGAGTGTGGGTGAGACTGACCCCAACTCCAGGCATGGACCAATCAATGCAATCTGTCCCAACCCCGGGACTGGTTCAGGCCTTGGGCTACAACAGTTAGGGCAGGGCATTCTCTCACCACAGTGGCTGGCCCAGTGGGTTCAGTGTACATGATACTCAGGGCTTTTGTTCACTGGGGAAGAGGTGACCTCTATGCCCCTCATGAAAGGGCTGTTCCTGGCAACTGTCTGAAACTATGCAGGAAGCCTGAGAACAAAGCCAATGCAAAGTTGAGAGAATGGCAAAACACTGTTCAAACTGAGGGGTGACTGAAGCCCAACCTACCATCTGGACTTCTCTATTACAAATGCTAATAAATGTCCTTTTTATCTAAATCAACTGGAATTGAATCTTCTCTTGTTTTAGCGTTTCAGCTGTAAAGCACAGACCATCAAAAACTGCTTTAGTGCTTCATGTGAGAGAAGTTCTGAAAAGTGACACTCACTGGTAGTATTCCAAGACGGGCTGTGTTTGAGCTTCGTAAGCCTTCAGCCTCTTGACAACTGTCTCTGGTCTGTCGTCCTCACGCTGAGTGAGAGGCTCTCCAGTCAGATCATCAATGCCCTGAGTGGGAGTTAGAACAGGCTGGTACCAAACATCTTATTTTTATAAGCAGTTATATGATTTTTAAACATATATTCTCTATGCAAGCACCAAGCACACAAATGTGCTTTTAAATAAGTGGGATCAAATCCAAACCCAGACCGTTGCAACACAGAGCCATGAGACCCCTAGGATCATTCAACAGGGTCAGTCAGTCTCCTTAGAATAAAAGGTTTTCTAAACAGCCTCTAAATACACACTGTGTACAAATAAGGGGTCCTACAGAAAGTAACCTCACAAGGTAACCTGATCATAAATTCCTAAGTGGGCAGGTCACAGTGGGTAGTCATGCCCAGGCATATACCTTCTTTAGTAAAAGATCTCTTTGCCTTAAGCAAGCCCTGTCCTTTGCCTCTGTGCATCTAGGTTAACACACCTTTGAAATGCCTCTTTTCAGACCCCTCAGAAGCCACCCTCAAGAGAGCACATGATCTTGTTAACTGTCCCGCCGTCCAGTCCCTGCCTTGCTGCTCCCACCTTCCTGTAATCTTCCTTCTGTTCCCTCCTTAATTCAAAATGCATAAAAGAAGCTGCAAACTGCCATTCCAGGAAGCATTTTTCTCAGCCTGTTGAAATCTTGCTCCCAGCTATATCACTGTTTGGCTCAAATAAAATTTTATAGAAATTCTGTACAGATTTGGACATTCTTGTATCGACTCTATGTATCACATATACATGATTGAGCCACAGACTGGGACTCTGAACTGCAAGCCCTAAATAAGCCAGTGTGTCGCTATTTCCCCAACTCCTAATGCACTCCCTGGCACGGAGTAGAAATCAATACATGCTTTTGAAGGAACAACAAGCGCCTGTTACTCCTGGGGATGCCTTCACTAACAAACTGAGTGGAGCACACAAGGACTACACCAAGTAACCTGAGAATATAGCCTGAGGAGTTCTGGTCAGGTACGATTTCCAAAGTCATAAAACTTCTGTCTGTGAGAACGAGAGGACTGGAGACTGCTATGTGGAAGGCCAGCTTCACAACTACTCACCACATTTTTGGGAGGGTTGAATTCGATGTTGTAGACTCGGCCACTGGCGGGATGAATCCACCGAGCAGTGAGGCGTTGCTTAATGACTTCAAAGGGCACGTTCAGATTAATCACTAGGTCTATCTGATAAGCTCTATCCAAGGCTTCTGCCTGAGGAAGAGTCCTTGGAAAACCTTTACAAATTAAAAAACAAAAACAAAAGAACAGAGGAAGAGAAGGGAGGAAGAAAGGGAAGAAGGAAGAGAATTAATTAATGTTGAGCAATTTGAACAGAAGCAGTAGCACCAGCCAAGCTGATCACAGCTGTAGGGCAACTATGATGGTTAGTTTCATGTGTCAACTTGTCTGGGCCACAGGGTGCCCAGATATTTGTTCAGGGTGCAGCATTTTTGGGGGTGTGTCTGTGAGGGTGTTTCTAGATGAGATTAACATTTAAATCAGCAGACTAAGTAAAGCAGGTTTTTCTCCTCGATGTGGATGGACCTCATCTAATCTATGGAAGATCTGAATATAACAAAAGGGCTGACCCTCCCCTGAATAAAGGGAATTCCTCTTGCCTGGGTGCCTTGGAGCTAGCTAGGACATGGGCTTTTCCCTGCCTTCATACTCAAACTGAAACAGCTCTTCCTGGGTCTTGAGCCTACTGGCCTTCAGACTAGAAGTATACTATCAGCTCTCCTGGGTCCCCAGCTTACCAGCTCACCCTGAAGATCCTGGGATGTGTCAGCCTCCATAACCATGTGAGTCCACTCCTTACAATAAATACTTCTCTCTCTCTTCAAAAATTAAAAATCAACCCATTCTGCCACTCCTCTGCCAGCTTATAGCTGATTGTCAATTAGCCTCTAACCTTTCTTCCTTTCCTGGTAATCCTTCCTCTTCATAAAAAATTCTCAAAGGAGGGGAAAGGAACTAAAGTCACATCCAAAAAACTTAGAAATCATGCAGTTCACTTCCCTATTCCATGTGGATAAGGATGCAGGCAGAGCCCTGCCAGCACGGCTCAGTTGTTTGGGTGTTGTCCCACAAAGCGAAATGTTGCTGATTTGATTCCTGGTCAGGGAGCGTGTCTAGGTTGCAGGTTTATCCCAGGCTGGGACCTGTACTAGAGGCAACTGATTGATGTTTCACTCCCTCTCTTTCTCTCTCCCTCCCACTCTCTCTCTAAAAAACAAACAAACAAACAAACAACAACAACAAAAACCCAATACATAAAATCTTTAAAATAAACAAAATTTTTTTAAAAGAAGAAGATGCAGGCAGAGAAGATGACTGGCCCAAGACCTCAGGGTAATTAGTGGCAGAACCCAGGCTCCCTGCCCACCATCTGTGACGTCTATAGCCCACGAAAGGCTCATTCTCCTGCCCACACTCATTTTGAGCAGCTGAAATGCTAGTGACACTTCACTTACCATCCAATAGCCAGTTATATTGGGTGAGGTTTTTCAGCTCATGAAAGGCCAGTCGCGTCATGACATCATCTGGAATGAGCTTCCCTTGTTCAATGAAAGTCTTGGCTAACACACCAATCTCTACAGCAGAATGAGGGGAGAAAAGCAAATCAGCAAATCAGTTTTATCCCATTCCAGGCCCCTTAGGAAACTGGGTGCCTAAAGACCTCTAGATAGCACACTCATTTGAAAATGTGCTTCATCAACTTTTTTGATAAAAACAGAAGTTACAAAATAACCTATGCCTATTTCAAATTATCCATTATGGAAAACCATAAATAAATAGGCAGAAAAATACTGGGAAGCTATCTCTAATAAAGAAATTATGTGATTTTTTTTTACATTTTTGCACTTTTCTATATTTTCTAAATTTTCTATCAGAAAAAGTATACAGAATTATGGAAATTAGTTTCTCTTTAAGTAAGAATTTGAAATAGTCATGATTTTTAAGTGGGTTGGTTCAAGTGCTCTAGAGACTTTTCTAATCACTAAAATAGATGCTGTTGTCACAACTCAATTTTTGACCAGATTAACACTATGATTATATTACATTTCTATTAATAAAACACCCCAGAAAAAATGTATGACCAATTTAAAAATATTACCCAATTATACATCATTCTTATGCAACAGTATTTTAATTTTCTCATCATCTTTTTCCAAACTATTTATATACATTCAGAATTATAATACCATTGTAAAATGTGTACATATAGTTTTGTGGTCTTTTCTCCCTTAGTATTATTATGTAAATAGTTTTCAGGAGGTAGACAGACACATTTCACCTTCTTGAGCAACCACAGAAAGAATTACAACTAAACCTCAAAACAAGTAACACCCAGAACTGTCCAAAATCCAACTGTATTGAAGTTCCACAACCAAGGATGTAAAGAAGCCACATTCATCTAGACGGGTAGGAGGGGCGGAGATGTGTGGCGGAGGGGCAGAGAGATGCACAGACGTGGTGTGGTGTGGAGAGGTGCCGGTGGTGGTAGAAGGGGCAGTCATACACTCACATGTGGCAGATAAAAACCGGGAGGGATACCTTAGGAGCAAGCGATCCCAGCCCCAGGCCAAACCACACAGTCCAGGGTTCCAGGGCCGGGTAGATAAACACCCATAACTTCTGGCTGTAAAAATCACTGGGGATAGGGGCGGTGAAAGAAAGTGCCAGATTTTCAAGAGACTCCACCTAAAGGACCCACACGGTCTTAGAACATATGCAAACCCACCCACTCTGGGATTCAGCACCAGAACAACAGCTGAAAGGGTGCCAGTCAAATACGGGGAGTGAGTTAAGTGACTGGAAATGGGGTGAGCGCTGGGCAAACCTCCAGAAGCCAGACAGTGGTACTGTCCCCTCTCTGAGCCCTCCCCTGACACAGAGCCACAGAGCAGTGAAGCAGGCTGCCCCACCCTGGCAATTACCTAAGTCTCTGCCCCACAGAATTTACTGGTGCCTTTTGTACAATAGGCTACACTACTGAGACAGGTAGTTAAGCAGCTCTACCTAAGATGCAGAAACAAACACAAGGAGAATCTTAAAAGCAACAAGAGAAAAGCAGGGAGTTACCTACAAAGGAGTTTCCATAAGACCATCAGCTGACTTCTCAAAAGAAATCTTGTAGGCAAGAAGAGGCTGGAAAGAAGTATTCAAAGTCATGAAAGGCCAGGACCTCCATCCAGGATTACTCTATCCAGCAAGCTATCATTTAGAATGCAAGGGCAGATAAAGTGTTTCCCAGATAAGGTAAAGCTAAGGTAGTTCATCACATCACCAAGCCATTATTACATGAAATGTTGAAGGGACTTATTTAACAAAAAGATCAAAACTATAAACATTAAAATGGCAACAAATTCAGGCCTGGCTGGTGTGGCTCAGTGGATTAAGTACCTCTGGCCTGCAAACCAAAGGGTCGCCAGTTCGATTCCCAGTCAGGGTTGCAGGCTGGTCCCCAATGGGGGGCACTCGAGAGGCAACCACACAGTGATGTTTCTCTCCCTCTCTTAAAAAAAAAAATGGCAACAAATTCACAACTATCAACAACTGAATCTAAAAAAACAAACTAAGCAAACAACCAGAAGTGGAACAGAATCATAGATATGAAGATCATTTTGAGGGTTATCACTTGATAGGGAGAAGGGAGAGAATGAGGAGAAAGGTGGAGGGGTTAAGAAGCAAATTGGTAGGTACAAAATAGGGAAATGTTACGAACAGTATAGGAAATGGAGAATCCAAAGAACTTATATGCACAACCCATGGACATGAACTAAGGGGAAACTGATGGAGGGAAGGGGGAACACCAGACATAGCGGGACAAAGGGGGAAAAATTGGGACAACTGTAATAGCATAATCAATAAAATATATTTTAAAAATATTTTTCAGTGATTTTTAAAATGATTTTATTTATTTACTTTTAGAGAGAAGGGAAAGGAGAAAGAAAGGGAGAGAAACATTAATGTGTGAGAGATACACCAATCAGTTGCCTCTCGCATGCCCCCAACTGGGGATCTGACCCACAACCCAGATTTGTGCCCTGACTGGAAACCAAACTGGTGACCCCTCAGTTCTCAGGCCAATGCCCAATCCACTGAGCCACACCACCCAGGGCTATTTTCAGTGATTTTATTTAGTCATTTTTTGTAACTGTATTTCATTCCATCAACATATACTCACATTTGATATATAAAAAATACACTCTCACATTAGTGCTCTTAGACATTTAAATTATATAAATTAGTCTTGGTTTTTCCCTACTGCTACTTTTAAACATTTTAATACTCTTTTTTCCCCTACTTTCTATTTCTTTTTTTTCTTCTGAATTAATTCTGTTGGATAAATTCCCAGGAGTCAGATTAAAGGGTCAAAAATATATGATTGTTTTCATAATTCTTGGTATGACTTACCATATTGACTTTAAAGCATATTCTTTTTTCTAAAAGTTGTTTTTATTGATTATGCTATTACAGTTATCTCAATTTTTTGCCCTTTGCCCCTCTCCACCCAGCACCCCCACTCCCTCAGGCAATCCCCACGTGAATGTTCATGTCCACAGGTCTTGTATATAAGTTCTTTGGCTACCCCATTTCCTATACTGTACTTAACATCCGCATGGCTGTTCTGTAACTACCCATTTGTCTCAGAGGCTCTTTACACTATCCTTGTTTTCTTGGATTCTTTTTTCTTGTTCTGATTGGTTGTTTTATGCTTCCAGCTGTTCCAAATCATTCATTTGATTCATGGCTTCATCCACTCTACTGTTGTTTCCCTGTAAATTGTTTTTTATTTCATTTAGTGTATTCTTTGTTTATGACTAGATCTTTTTTAGGCTGTTGAGGTCCTCACCTTGTTCCTTGAGCATCCTTATAAACAGTGTTTTGAGCTCTGCATCTGATAGTTTATCTCCATTTTGTTTAGTTCTTTCCTGGAGTTTTGATCTGTTCTTTCATTTGGGCCATGTTTCTTTGTCTCCTTGTTTTGGCAGCCTCCCTGTGTTTGTTTCTATATAATAGGTGGAGTTTCTATGACTCCCTGTCTTGGTGGTGTGGCCTAATGAAATAGGTGTCCCATAGGGTCTAGTGACACAGCCTTCCCTATCACCCAAGCTGGGCACTCAAGGTGTAGGCTGAGTACACCCTCCTCTTCTAGTTGAGCTTTGATTGTTGTTGACAATGGTAGGAATTGGTAGGGATTTACCCAGGCCAGTCAGCTGCAAGAACTGGCTGTGACCACTGACCACCAACCTTCACCCTCCGTGGAAGATCAGCTGTGCAGTGGCCCACACCACAGAGCAGAACTTCAGTAGGGCTCTGGAGCCCACTGCATCCACTCCCTCCCTGAGCATGTCTCTTGTGGGGATGGATGGGTGGTGGTGCTCTGGTGTGGTCTGTAGCTGTCCAGTTCGTGTGCAGGCTCTGGGGTTTTCTGGGTGGTTCAGGCCAAGGTCATCCACTTTCTGTGTTTCTCTGGGGTCACTTGGCAGAAGAGATAAAGCATCTGCAGATAGTTGCTACTTGTACTGGGCTTGGAGGTAGGTACCCAAGTGAGCCCAGGCTCTGAACTGAGGCTGGCTGCTGCTAGTGCCAGGCCTGGAGCCACTCAGCAAGAGGTACAGGGGCTGAGGGCTTGCTGAGACTGGCTGTTGCTTGTTTGAGAGAATTTAGAAAGATCTAAAGCATGACCCAAGAGAAGCCATTCATATGGAGAAGCCACTGTTAACAGCTTGGGTGGGCCCATAAATTGGGTGGGTCGCAATCTCAGGGAATCAGGGGGTTGGGGGCAAGCAGTGTGAGCCAGGTTGATGGAGTCTCAGATATGGCACCTGCCTTCAGGCTCTGTGGCTCTGTTGGGGGAGGGCTCAGAACAGGAATAATGGTCTCTACCCACAGTTTTATCTGGGACAAAGCTGTCTTTCGGCTCTTGCCTTGATGCCCAGCACTTCAGGTCCTCCCCGTATGCCACTGGTGCCTTTCAAGCTGCTACCCTGGTACTGGAGCTCAGAAGGAATGAATCTTAGTAAGTCTTGTGCAGGCCCTTTAAGAGGTACTGCTTGGGACTCCCAACAGTTTCTTCTGCCAACTCAATCCCCACTGGTTTTTACAGCCAGATGTGGGGACTTATCTTCCTGGGACTGGAACCCTGGGCTGTGGGCCTAGTGTGGGGCTTGGACTCCTGCTCCCGAGATATCCTTCCCATTTTTTTTCCATCACATGTGTGTGTGGGACCAGACCATTCCATGTCTCTGCATTTCCACCCTCCTACCTGTCTGGATGAATGTGGTTTCTTTAATTCCGTAGTTGTCAGATTTCCATTCAACTCAATTTCTGATAGTTCTGAGTGATGGTTGTTCTATAGTTTAGTTGTAATTTTGATGTGGTTGTGCGAGGAGGTGAGCTGTGTTTAACCACACCTCCATCTTGACCAGAAGTCTAGAGCATATTGTAAATTGCCATGAACTTTAGATTTTAAATAAGCACATTAACTGCCTGGAAACTGGCAGCCATTTGCCAGGTATACTGCCTGGGTTTACCAACTGCATCTGGAAGGGGGACTGGGCTCAGAGAGAAAGTACTCAGGATT